TATAATCCTACCAAACACACCCTAAAAGGAGGCTAATTTTGTGTACCTTATTTCTTATCAAGAAACAAGGTAACCAAAATTGAATTGGTATTTTCTTTGTCAACTTATTAGCTGGTGGACCTTATTTAATTATATATTTTTTTAAAAGACCAATTCTGATTGGTCCTTTTACTTATTCTTTCTTTAGAATATTGTTATTATTTATTAGAATAAATAAAAGTAGTGTATCAAGTTAGTCCACATAGCAAAGTTACTAGCTTTCACATTGTAATGGACATTTTAATATTATTTTCATGATAACGATGTTTAGATAGCTCGTATATCTTTCGATTAATTTGTAGTAGTTAGTGTTAGTCAAAAATTACAAAATAATAGAATTATACGATTACAATTGAAAATAAAAATGAAGAAATAAATCTCTTCAGGCTGAGGCGTGGATATCTCGCTCTCTTTAAGGAGATTCAAGCCCACTGCAACAAATGTTTTTCACTGGTCTAGCAGTAGTCCTTCTTGACTTGTCCCCTTCAGGATACAATAGCCTAATCACAAAACATAACTCAACAACTCTGGACAAGAGTTGAGTCCAAAGCTCCACAAAAAGAGCACCTCCCTTCAACTAATAAGAACTTTCTTTTTTTAACAAATTTTATGCACTCTATATTTTCTTATATGTAAAACAAATGAAGACCATCACTATTTATAGTAGAAGAAGTCTTCCTAGGAATAAATAGGAAGATAATGAAGTATTAAATAGTGAAGATAATCAGGGGCAGCTGGTAAGGCTTAAAAAAAGTCTTTTGCCTTAGGCCCCCAATTTTAGGGCCCCCCATTTTTTAGTTAATTAGGTAGGATTAAATTAAAAAAATAATATTAGAACTAAGACAATAAATGCAAAGGCCCCATTTTTTAGTTAATTAGGAATGATTAAATTAAAAAAAAAAATGTTAGAAACAAGACAATAAATGCAAAACGGCTCAATGAAGAGATAGTATGATAGATATGACTATGACTTTTTGACTTTTCAATAAAAAGTTGTGTACTTTTTTTTTAATGTACAAGCTATCTTTTTTTTTTACTTTTTTTTTTCTAATTTTATTTTTATATATTCTATCCTCCTCCCTTCTATTTCTTCTCACTTTCTTTTTTCTAATCTTACATCTCTCTCTTATTCAAAGCTTAAAAATTTACTCGTTCTATTGATAGTTTATAATTTAAATTTGGAGAAAATTATATTGCAGCTGCCCGATTCATTTTTGGAAATCAAGTCTTCATAGCTTTTGAATTCGGTAATATCATTCTAATTTCTAATATTATTTTTGTTTTGTGTCTTATGTTTATTATATTTTTTATTTGATATTGTAAATAGTGTTTTAAAATATTTGTTAGATTTTGATGTCGCTATAGATCAATTAAGAGGTTTAGTTTCTTTTTTTAAAACATATAGAGAAGAAGGATTTACAAGTACAATGATTTCGGCTAAGAAAATTGCATTAGAGATGAATATAGAACCTGTATTTCGTAAGAAACGTGTAATTTATAGAATTTTTTTTTTTGATGAGAATGTTGATAATGAAATCACAAGATCTCTTGAAGAATCATTTAGAGTTGATTACTTCTTATACATAGTAGACAAAGCCATCTTTTCACTTCAAAATAGATTTGAACAATTTGAAGTATATGAAAATATTTTTGGTTTTCTATTTAGTGGGAAAAAATTGAGATCATTAGATGATGAGAATTTGAAAAAATATTGTCTTAAACTTGAATGTTCCTTAAAACATAATACTCACTCCGATATTGACGGTTTAGACTTATTTTCTGAATTAAAAGTGTTGAGGGAAATCATAAAAGTAGAAGACGATACTCTAATTGAGATACTCAATCAAATAAAAAGACTTGATTCTTTTCCAAATGTTTGCATTGCTTATAGAATAATGTTAACAATTCCCGTAACAGTCGCCTCAGTCGAAAGAAGTTTTTCAAAATTAAAAATAATAAAATATTATTTAAGATCGATAATGTCTCAAGAAAGATTAAGTGGTTTGGCTATATTATCGATTGAAAAAGAATTATTAGAAGAGATTGACTACACAAAAATTATTAACAACTTTGCATCTCAAAAAGCTAGAAAAATAGATTTAAAATAAAAACATTTATAAATTTTTTTAAGGCCTCTAGTTTGATTTGGCCTTAGGCCACCAACGGGTTTGAACCGCCCCTGAAGATAATTAGCCTTAGAAGTTACATATGTTACAAGGTATAATGAAGCGCACCAAGAAAATTGTAACATATACACTAATTCCATTTGGAGTAATGCTGAATAGTAATGCAGCAATAATTATTTTCAACGGCAACAATTAACTGCTAATTCATCCATCATTTTATATACTCCTAACATATATGAAAAGTGCACCAACGGCCATAAACCAACATCTATGTGGCCATGCAAAAAATGTGAATTCTTAAATTATTAAAATCCCACCTTAACAGTTAGTGTTTGCTATCAATATACATGTATTGTAAAACTCTACTCACTAATATTTAGACAAAAATAAGAAGAAATAATCAAATGTTTTTTTGGTCTATTGAAATTTTAAATTCTGAATAACTATAATTTAAATTCTTAGGTTAATATAATATGATTAATTCATCAAATGGGCATTTGATTATAAACCCTGTCACTATCAAGGCATTAACTCAGAGAGCGAAATTATATTCCTCTCATTTGCTCGTTCTTATCTATAGAGAATCATTTGCTTGATTCAAAATCAAGTTATTCTTTAATAAAGATTATAACTAGCATATATAATAATAACCAATTTCTTAGATAATAACATAATAATAAAACTTCATCAAACTAATAAGTATATTTAAGATAATTCTAAAACAGAAGGATCAATAAAATTATAAAAAACTAAAATAAAAAGACAATTTCTTAGATAATAACATAATAATAAATTAATAAAATTTACAACTATCCTACATTATTAAAATACAGAAAAGTTTTTTTTAATATCCTACATTTTCACTTGATCACATTTAATACAATTTTAATACATATTACATCGAACAATTTATAAAACACATACAAAATAAATTTTATCGATGGATAATATATTTATCACGTATTTTAATACAATATGTCAATTTCTTACCTATTACGAAATGACCCCTTACTATTATTTAAGGTGACACCATTTCGTGCGTGGTGGGCGCCGGCGGCAACGGTAGCAGCCATGCTGACGGCGTCTGTGAACAGTGATGGAGATAATATTTTTTAATTTTGAGTTATTCACAATTTACAGAAATGTCCAAAAGGGTTCCAATCACAATTTTCACTTGATTGCTTTTTTTTGTTTCTTGTACTTTGTTCCAACTTGCTTTTTACTGTTTATCTTGTACTCATTTTTCTTGCAATTATAAGCTATGATGCTCATTTCTGGCCATATGCAACTATATTTTTCCGTCTCAATAGTGTTTGATTGAGCGCGAAATTTAAGAATGAAAGAAAGATTTTTTGAAATTTGTGATTTAATTAGCCATAAATATTTGTATGATTATATTCCTTCTATCTCTAATTATTTGTCCACTTTTTTTTTTAGTTATTCTTAATTACTTGTCTATTTTGACAATCAAGAAAGATTTTTTTTTACCTATTATACCCTCAATTTATTACTTTGAAAAAGATAGAACTTCTTGAAAATCTTAAATTTTTAATTTATCTACAGGGATAAAATGATAAATTCACTATGTCAATCATTATTTTCTTAATAGGTATGACAATTCAAAAGTGGACAAATAATTAGGGACAGAAAGAATAATTCATTTCATTAAGAATAAAAAGGTAGTTTTAAGTTAAATTGCACAAAATTCATTAATCAGGAGGGGTGTTTAGTTATTATTAATTAAGAGTAATCTCTTTTCATATTCTATTTATGATCATAATTGAAGTGTTTGTAGTCTTCAAAATAATCACTCACTATTAAGAATAAAATGGGGAGAAAATAATTAAATTTGTCATGAACGTCTAAAATGACAAGTATTGAGAGTAAAATGGAGAAGTTACTCCTTCTATTCCATATTAAATGAATTTATAAAGCAATATACATATATTAAGAAAATCATTCAGGGACACATATTGCCCTTTATAAGATCATAAATAACTTTGTAAGTAGTACAATTTATCTGCTAAAAAATATAAAACTTCAATAAATGAAAAGGGCAAATATGAAAAAAAATTCAAACATCCATCTTGAACTTTAAACATGTCAATTATTTAGAACAATGAAAAAGCCTAAAAAAATTCACTTAATATGAAATAGAAGGAGTACTAAATATGGGAAAATATATAAGAATTTACATATTGAACCCATTTAATTTAAATTTAAAATTAAAATTTCGTCTCTAATTATTTCCTTGAGTTGATGGCTAATAATTGCTCTTACAATACATTTTTTCTTTATAGATTTGTCCCCTAAAGATCTTCAGCTACATCATATCTCATAACTACGCAGAAAAAAGAAGACAACCAAGAGATAATATATAGTATTATATCTCTGCAGAAACTTTATTTAAATTGCATAGAAATGAAATAAATAAATTATCCTTCCCCTTTTACGGCTTTTTCTGGTGTCACTTCTCACCCAAAAAAAGAAGAAAAGTTACAACTTGTAAAAGTACGAGGGGAACTTGTAAAAAGAACCACTATCGCGGAGTTTCAAACTCTACTAGTGAATGAAGTTTTACCTGTGAAAATTTGAACTCCATGAATCATGACACTGCTTATATTCGAAAATTAGGACCGAAAAGTGACCACTGAACGCTACTTCTACCTGCCAAGTCTGCAACTATACAACAGAGCCAAAGATCATTCTTTTAGATGCAGCAATTGAAAACTCCAATTAATAAAAGGCAGTAGAAAGTTTTGATTAGTGATCATGATAAAAATTTAGAGAAACGTATAATCCGACATCCAGTGACATAGTTTTTTCCTACTATTGTCAACAAGTATCCTCAAGGTCTGTTTCATTAAGTGCCTCGGACTTGCGATTTCCAATTTCAATATACTTATCTAAACCCCTCTCAAATTCTTTCGAGCAGAGACCTCGCACCCTAAGTAAATCTTTAAGCTCTTCTTCTCCTTGAGTATCTCCTTTGGATTGCAAGTACTTTACACAGGAAGCCAAACTGTGGAAGTGTGGCTTCCACCCTGGCTTACTAGCCAAGATTGCTTTCTCCATCGTCTCCACTGCCTTCTCCATGTAATTTTGTACACAATAACCGAGTGCCAGACGATTCCATGTGCTCCCATTGGGATGCTTCCCACTCTCCTCAAGTTGCTCTATGATTGATATAGCCTTTTCCATATGACCCTTCTTGCAGTAAGCACTTATGAGCAAGTTTGGAATTCGAATGTCAAAGTGTACCCTGTTTGTTTCCCACTCAGCAAATATCTTCTCCGCACCGTCAAGATCATCCAACTAGTATTGTATTTATTCCATATACGATAGACACATCTTTCTTTCCCATACTAGTATAGAGAGTAATTAGCATGTCAATACCAAGCTTTTCTCTTTTCCCCTTGAGTCTATTTTCACATTTCTTCAATGACTCATTAGCCTTTTCTATATCACCAGCTTTCAAGTATCCCTTGGCAACAACTGTGTAAGGACTCCAATTAATCAGCAGCGGATCAGCTTCCATCTTCATCAGAACCTTCTCCATCTCCGTAACATCGGGAACAGATGCATAAGCATTCAAGAGGATATTGTAGGAAATCACATCACCAGGAATTCCCTTGTCTTCCATCTCTAGCATAAGTGACTGTAGCTTCTCAAGATATCCCAATTTAGCATAAAGGGTCATCATAACATTGTATGCTACTGTGCCAGCATAGGCCAACTCTTTCAGCTTTTGCATGGTATCTTCTGCTTTTTTTAAGACCTTTGCATCAGCATAGCAATTCAAGAGAGCGCCATATACCTGGTAGGTTCTTAAATCATCTGGAATGCTAGTGAAATATGTCTCTGCGGCTTCCAGACCATGGGCTTTTGATACTAAATCAAGTTCGACTGCAAAATCTCTAGGCGATATATAAAAATCCTTGGACCTCTTAATCCACTCAAAAATCTGCGATTGTATAAGAAGCAGAAATTGCTATATTGTAAACTGAACCAATACATAAGTTAGGAAAAGAGTAGTTAAGTACGCAACCTGGTCCTTTAACCTTGGTTCCCCAAAGGCTAGTATTTTAAACGAAAATAGGACTGATTAATACGAACTTCATGATGTGGGCGAATTTAGGGATTGCTTTTGTTAAATCAACATTTAACTGATTCAGAAATATTTGTAGAACATGAAAGTTTGCAAGGTATCTGTTACAAAGTCAAGTTGTACAGAGGAGTTAATCAGAAACAGTGTTAGCAAAGGCGCGCTTAAGCCCTGAAGCAAGGCTCAAAACATCTTGAGCGCTTCAGTGTTGTCATCAAGTCTCTAAGACAGACTTATCCGTACAAATGAGCATTTCCTGAAGAGGCGACACTAAACAATTGATGTTTCACTAAACAATTCATGCTTATTATTATTAGTTTTGGACTAAACATGTATTATCTGTATTTTTTCTCCATTGCGTCTTTTTACATGAAAGCCCACACTTTATTTGAGCTTAGTGCTTAAAGCCCCAATAGACCTTAGAGATTTTTTGCGCTTTTTGCTTTTAATAACATTGACCAGAAAAGGGAAAAAAGAAGTCATGTTGTATGGAGGATAATAATTTGGTTCATGTATAGTTTCAAGATCCACTTCCGGACCTGGTTGACTAATCAAATTAAGTTCTTGTTTTTTTGGGAAGAAGAATATAGAGAAAAGGCAGGGAATGACCGAATGAGAGTACTATTTTAGGAATGACTCTTGGAATACTTAAAAGTCCAAAATCAGACAAGCCCAACAACTCTACAAAAGCAAATCACTCTTCTTAGCTTAAACATTCGAATTGATTAAAATGTGTTAGTATTAATTCGAACAAAGAAAATATTTGCAATATATGTTTTTAACAGAAATAGTAATAGCATAGACTGACAGATAGTTCTTCGGCTAAAGTGCTTCTAAGAATATAGATTGCTCTAATCTTAGGCGTTAGTTTTAATATCCTCACTATAATAAATTTATTAGCAAATTACATACGAAAGCAACACTCTCCCACCCCACCCGCCCCTCCTAAATTTATATCCTCAGAGAGAAGGACTAAAAGGAGTCTTACAACTCTAGACATCATCCTAAAGAAAGGTAATAAAAGAGAAGTCTTTAAATCCCTATCACATCCAATTAATGTCCAAACAAAGTATCATCAACAAATTAACGGTTAAGCAAATTGTTGCAGTACAAAAAACGTAAACTAAGTAAGATCCACTTTAAAGCATCTTTAGTCTTAAGCCTAGTATTAAGGAATAAAGCTGATGAAGGTTGACAAACAACATGATGATAGTCAAACTATTCTATGGATTCATGGATATTTTGGGATTCAAGCTAATTGATAAATATTACGCGGGTTAACCAGGACATTCACTTGTAATGCCGAATTGTAAATAAGGATGGTTTAGTCCATATACCATCCCTCCCATTACCATAATAGGATATGATATTATTCTTAAACAAAACTTAGCCTCTTAAAATAATGAGGAATTTGTACAGGAAGCTGAAGCAATACTTAGCCTCTTTGAATCCCTAAAAGATAAAAGGGATTCCTTAATGGATGCGTGGGAATACAAAAAAGATAAGATGAGAAATGAAGATATTTGGAACTAGGTGGGAGCGGCCTTTGTGCTGGACAAGATACGGGAGGCGAGATTGAGATGTTTTGGACATGTGAAGAGGAGATACACGGATGCCCAGTGTGGAGGTATGAGGGATTGGCTATTGACGGTTTCAAAAGAGGTAGAGGTAGGACAAAGAAATTTATGGAGAAGTGATTGCGGAGAAGTGATTAGAGAGGACATGACACAACTTCAATTTATCAAACACATGACTTAGGATAGGAACTTATGGAGGATACAAATTAGGGTAAATGGTCAGCAAGTAGTTGAGTGTTGTTTCACTTATCTTTCCATATTCATAGTCGTACTATTATTCTTGTAGTTTCTTGTTTCTTCGACTTCTATCACTTTTATTGTTTCTTGTACTTCAATTCTCGTATTATTTCATTATTGTCATGCCTTGTTTTCTTCACTCCTGTTCTTTTCCTGAGCTTGAGGGTCTACTAGAAACAACCACTCTAGGTCAAGGTAAGGTCTACATACACACTATCCTCCCCACACGCCACTTGTGGGATAATTGTCGTTGTTTTGTACATATTACACTTACCTTTAACGTTCTCCTTCAATGAATTCCATCAGATGAACCGGAACAACAAACCAAATTCAAAAACTCCCCCACCCCCAAAATGAAGTTCATATCAATTAGTGTGATTTTTGCAAATTTATCATCGACATTAACTTAAAGAAATAAACAAAATTTCAGAAGTAAAAAAACAATAAACCTGAAGGGCATGATTGTATCACCGGTAAGCTCGAAATTTTCTGATGATAATCAGTAGATCTTCATACTTAATGGGATTTTGTTCAGTAACCCATTTGTCCAGTACTGATATGACGGACTCCTTAGAGCGTGTCAAATAGAGTAGCCTACTGTACAGAGCATTCCTTGGAGACGAGGTTAAGGGTTTAAAATCTTGTTCATCTTTTTTAGGCAAAAATAAGGAGGCTAGGGTTTCAGTATTTGTAGAATATGAAGAAGAAACCCTAAAAAAACAAGTACTGAATTTCCACCATGATTGTTGAACAAATTTCACCATTTTTACCAGAAATACAGAGTATGCCTCACTCCTTCACACTCTTCATTCATTTTTGTAAACCCTTCCTGCAATAAAAAAAAAAAATTATTCAAAAATAATGAGTTAGAGTCCGTTTAGATTGGCTTAAAAGTTGATCAAATCTACTTTTAAGTCAATTTTTTATTTTTAAAAGTGTTTGACAAATATAAAAAATAACTTAAAATAAGTTACGAAGTGTTTGGCAAGGTAAAAAATAATTTAAAATAAGTAAAAAATGACTTAAAATAAGTCAAAAACCAAAAGTAGGTCTCCTCTACTTTTTATTTTTTTACTTAAAAATCATTTCAGATTGACTTTTGACTTAAAAGCTACTTTTTAAAAGTTAATCCAAACGGGTTCTTAGTTTGATACTTTGACTTGACAATTGACACAAAATTTTAGGAAAGAAAGATTTTTGAAACTTATGATCTAAGCTAACGTTTGGCCATAGATTTTTAAATATTTTTGGCAAATATTATTTGAATGAAATTTCACCATGTGTTTGGTCATAGTATTTGGAAAAAATATTTCACTTTTTTAGAAAAATATGATTTATACCTGTAAGTTTTAAAAACTATTAAAACTAACCATACGTTTGTATTATAAGTCAATTGGATCTTCGTTACAACAAATAACAAGTAGCGTCCATGACACTAGAGCAATGTGATAGTTTGGAGTGAGTACAATAAGCATCAGTCCATACATAGTGAAGTAGACAAAACATATGACTTTGTTACCCTGAATCGATTGTTCATCATTTTCATCAACAACCATATCATCACTTTCATATCACGAATATTTCATCACTACTTTGGTGTTCACATAAAAAATTATGTAATACAACGCAAACAATTACTATAGATGATGTTTTTGTAAAGACTTAAGTCATCTACGGCCCCTTAAAGTTATCCATGTAATTCACTTAGACAGCTCAACTAGGGCTAGTACCTATTGAACACCTCTACCCTCTCGAATTTGAACCATTTAGACATTTTATGCAGATATGGCACAAAAAATATAATTCACGTCTTGGTAGACGCATGAAATCAATATTTTAACATTCTTCCTTTTCCTTTTCAATTTTTTCTTTTTATTTCTCATTATTTTTTTAAAAAAAGTAACAATCTTTTTTTCTTCCTCTCTTTTAAAACCACGCCCACTGCAACCATCCATCACCATTTTTTCCCTCACAAAGTTCCTCCTTTTTTTTAAAATCATCTTATTATTGTCACTTTCTTGGGAAAATTTTTTGGAGATCACTAGTTCTTTATCATAAAATGGAGATTATTAAATACGTCTTCTTTGTCCAAAAAAATGGAGACCATCCATATCTTCTTTACCGGAAAAAATGGAGATTATTATTTAAATATTTTTCTCTCCATCTTCACCTCTCCCCACACACACTCCTTCTTCCTCACAAATCGAACAAAAAAATAATAATTTGAAATAAAAAAAAAGAATCTTTTAAGAAAACACTATCAATTTAAATGGAAATAAAAAAGAAGGCGTAAAGAGAAATAAAAATGATAAATTCATACATAATATATGTTAAAACCTCTAATTTTTGTAAATGGAGATTAACAATGGTGGACAAGATAGTTTTGTTAGGGAAATAGAAGAAATGGAAAGGTTTGGGGTGGGTGGGGTGAGGGGGTGGGGTTAGGGGGTGTATAATTTTTTATTTTTTTTAGTTTAAAGTATTTTCTTTTAGGATTTTTGTTATATTCAAAATTTATTTTTATAATTATTTTAAATTAAAATGCCACATGTCTTCATTTGATTTATTAGGTTGACAGCTCATATGCATGTGTATTACACACACTTTCTCTTTAGACTAAGTGTCAAAAAAATGTTCAATATGTATTTATTTGTTAAGATTGGAGTGTCTAATAGGAAACAAGGCCTGTTAAGGTGTCTAAGTGAATTATAGAGATAATTTTAAGGGGCCACAAATGACTTAAACATTTTGTAAAAGATAAAAGTTTGGTGTAAGATTTCAATTTTTAAAAGATCCCAAATAATGAGATTTGACCCAAATAATAGAAAAAACTAGTATTTGGGAATTTGGGATATTTGTCAAAAATATTTGCCAAATAATGGCAAATGTATGAACATACACTATTTACCAAATTTTTCTCCAAATATTACTTGGAAATCTATGGCCAAACGGGTCCTAAAACTAAACAAGTACTCTACTTAATACTCCTTTCATTTCAAATTAATTGAATTGTTGAGGTGTTTCACACAAGAAGATTTAGACATAACTTTTCATTTTTACCTTTATTAATTATTATTATCAAATTTATGATCAAAATAACTAAACATTAATTAATAACTAATTCCAATACTAACTAATGAAGGGTAAAATTAGAAAAACATTCTAAAAGTAGTTTTGGAAATCAAATAATTAAATTAATATGAAAAATGAAAAATATCTCAACAATTCAGTTAATTTGAAATGGAGGGAGTATATATTTGTGTGATAATAAATTATTTTTAAAATTAAATTATTATTTAATATAAAAATATGTCATTCTTGTTTAGACAAGAAATTTAGTAGTATAAATTGAAACAAAGAGATGAGTATTTTATTTAAATAAGCGTATTTCTTATTTATTTCATTTAATTTTCTAAATATTTTGATCAACTAAACATAAAAAACTTGAAATGCATTTTCTCAGTTAAATACTTACAAGTGTTGGATGTCAATTTTGCCGGGTATATTTTAGTTGTCAATTTTTTGACTGGCAACAAAAATAAGTCATAAATATTTACTTCTTTATCGTATTAGGGATATAAAAGAAAATTTTAAATTAAATTGTGCGTCTCAAAATACTTATCATATTTTAAAATTTTATGCCTTCTTTAGAAATCATTAATTAGGAGGGGTGTTTGATTATTATTAATTAGAGTAATCTCTATTCATACTCTATTTATGTGTCATAATTGAAATATTTACTTCCTCCATTTCTATTTAGTGATTTCTTAAAGTCCAGTTTTTAATAGGATAAACTACATAATTAGACATACATAACTACTATATATACATATTTTACCTATAGTTTAAAAATATTACTCATAATACCACTTTTTAAAAAATTAAATAAGATACACAAATTTCTTAAATATGAAATTGAATAATTATCTTAAAATTTAAATCTCTTAATTAAAGGTGCTTTAACAATTCAACCTCCTTCAGTCTCCTCCCGCATCAATATCTCTCCCCCCACTCCCACCCCTTACCGGAATTCACCCTCAATTCAAAAAAGAACTCCAAAAATGGCAAAACTTTGCGTTTTCATATAACCGCATTATGAATGTAATGGTGTGCACTATCTGCTTGCTTAGAGTGTGATTATAGCTTTGGTATAACATTTCAGAAGGCAAAGAGGCAACCACCCTTCTAAACAAGAATTTTCTATACTTCTTCTTTGTTCTCTATTTTTTAGGCATTTCTTCTTCTCTGCAATTCTTCCAATTACTTGTTTCAGTTCAATTTACATTAAATACATCCTCCTTACTCCGACGAGTCATCGGACGCCGATGAAGCCATGTGCAGGTTTTTACATTATTTGTTTTTGTTGTTTCTCAACTATTTTAATGGTTGATTGGTCACAAAATCAGATGATTCTTGTTAAAGAATAATTCAATTTAATAAATTGTGTATTTCACCTTTAAAAATTGATGGATACATGTATCTCGTCGTTAATGATTAAAGCCAATTAAGAGGTTAATCCAAATTAATAAATCGTGTATCTCGGCTTGGATACATGTATCTCATCATTAATGATTCAAGCTGATGAAGAAGATGAAGATGTTAATTCAAATTAATAAATTGTGTATTTCAACTTTAAAAACTGTTGGATACATGTATCTCGCCATTAATGATTCAAGCCGATGAAGAGTACAATAACAAAATTAATTAGGTTTATAATTTCGTTATTTTAGGAATATTTGTTAGAGATGATACTCAAGATCCTGAAAATTTGTTGAGTTGTTAATTAGTCCGCAACTAATCCTTTAATTAAGGAAATAAGTTACAATCCCTTTAATTCAAATTAATAAATCGTGTATCTCAGCTTTTAAAACGGTTGGATACATGTATCTTGCCATAAATGATACATGTATCTCGAGACCAAAATATGATATAAAAAGTAATATTACAAACTATCAGAAATCCTTGTAAATGGAATCTAAAGTATTGAGATTTATGTAAGATGCCCTTTTTAATAAATGAACCAAATTAATTGACCAATTAACATGAACTAATCATTTAGTCTTTCTATGTTGGTTAAATTCATATTTTCAAGACTAATAACTCTCAAGTATAGAATAAGAAGAATAATGTCATTTATGCATTAATTTTGTAAAATGACATATATTAAGAATATTTATTTTTAATAAGAACGACATATAAATAGGAACGTAGGAGTAGTAAAAGATTACTTCTTTCTCATTTTTCTGGTATCACTTCGCACCAAAAAAGGAAAAGACAACTTGTAAACGAACCACTATTAGCTGAGTTTCAAATTCTTCCAAGTGAATGAAGTTTTACCTACGGAAATTTGAACTCCATGACATTTCCTATTTTCCAAAAACAGGACCGAAAATTGACCAATGAACGCTACTTCTACCTGAACAATACAACAGAGCCAGATATCATTCTTTTAGATGCAGCAATTGAAACCTCCAATTAATATAAGGCAGTAGAAAGTTTTGATTAGTGATCATGATAAAAATTTAGAAAATCATATAATCCAGTATCCAGTGACATAGTTTTTTCCTACTATTGTCAACAAATCTCCTCAATGTCTGTTTCATCAAGTGCCTCAGACTTGCGATTTCCAATTTCAATATACTTATCTAAACCCCTCTCAAATTCTTTCGAGCAGAGACCTCGTACTCTAAGTAAATCTTTAAGCTCTTCTTCTCCTTGAGTATCTCCTTTTGATTGCAAGTACTTCACACAGGAAGCCAGACTGTGAAAGTGAGGCTTCCACCCTGGCTTACTAGCCAAGATTGCTTTCTTCATCGTATCCACTGCCTTGTCCATGTCATTTTGTACACAATAACCGAGTGCCAGACGATTCCATGTGCTCCCATTGGGATGCTTCCCACTCTCCTCAAGTTGCTCTATGATTGATATAGCCTTTTCCATATGACCCTTCTTGCAGTAAGCACTTATGAGCAAGTTTGGAATTCGAATGTCAAAGTGTACCCTGTTTGTTTCCCACTCAGCAAATATCTTCTCCGCACCGTCAAGATCATCCAACTTTTCTAGTCCACGTATCATACAATGATAACTTGAATTGTGATGCTTAACTTTTTTATTGTATTTATTCCATATACGATAGACATCATCTTTGTTTCCCATACTAGTATAGAGAGTAATGAGCATGTCAATACCAAGCTTTTCTCTTTTCCCCTTGAGTCTATTTTCACATTTCTTCAATGACTCATTAGCCTTTTCTATATCACCAGCTTTCAAGTATCCCTTGGCAACAACTGTGTAAGGACTCCAATTAATCAGCAGCGGATCAGCTTCCATCTTCATCAGAACCTTCTCCATCTCCGTAACATTGGGAACAGATGCATAAGCATTCAAGAGGATATTGTAGGAAATCACATCACCAGGAATTCCCTTGTCTTCCATCTCTAGCATAAGTGACTGTAGCTTCTCAAGATATCCCAATTTAGCATAAAGGGTCATCATAACATTGTATGCTACTGTGCCAGCATAGGCCAACTCTTTCAGCTTTTGCATGGTATCTTCTGCTTTTTTTAAGACTTTTGCATCAGCATAGCAATTCAAGAGAGCGCCATATACCTGGTAGGTTCTTAAATCATCTGGAATGCTAGTGAAATATGTCTCTGCGGCTTCCAGACCATGGGCTTTTGATACTAAATCAAGTTCGACTGCAAAATCTCTAGGCGATATATCAAAATCCTTGGACTTCTTAATCCACTCAAAAATCTGCAATTGTATAAGAAGCAGAAATTGCTATTTTGTAAACTGAACCAATACATAAGTTAGGAAAAGAGTAGTTAAGTACGCAACCTGGTCCTTTAACCTTGGTTCCCCAAAGGCTAGTATTTTAAACGAAAATAGGACTGATTAATACGAACTTCATGATGTGGGCGAATTTAGGGATTGCTTTTGTTAAATCAACATTTAACTGATTCAGAAATATTTGTAGAACATGCAAGTTTGCAAGGTATCTGTTACAAAGTCAAGTTGTACAGAGGAGTTAATCAGAAATAGTGTTAGCAAAGGCACACTTAAGCCCTGAAGCAAGGCTCAAAACATCTTGAGCGCTTCAGTGTTGTCATCAAGTCTCTAAGATAGACTTATCCTGACAAATGAGCATTTCCTGAAGAGGCGACACTAAACAATTGATGTTTCACTAAACAATTCATGCTTATTATTATTAGTTTTGGACTAAACATGTATTATCTGTATTTTTTCTCCATTGCGTCTTTTTACATGAAAGCCCACACTTTATTTGAGCTTAGTGCTTAAAGCCCCAATAGGCCTTCGAGATTTTTTGCGCTTTTTGCTTTTGATAACATTGACCAGAAAAGGGAAAAAAGAAGTCATGTTGTATGGAGGATAATAATTTGGTTCATGTATAGTTTCAAGATCCACTTCCGGACCTGGTTGACTAATCAAATTAAGTTCTTGTTTTTTTGGGAAGAAGAATATAGAGAAAAGGCAGGGAATGACCGAATGAGAGTACTATTTTAGGAATGACTCTTGGAATACTTAAAGTCCAAAATCAGACAAGCCCAACAACTCTACAAAAGCAAATCACTCTTCTTAGCTTAAACATTCGAATTGATTAAAATGTTTTAGTATTTATTCGAACAAAGAAAATATTTGCAATATATGTTTTTAACAGAAATAGTAATAGCATAGACTGACAGATAGTTCTTCGGCTAAAGTGCTTCTAAGAATACAGATCGCTCTAATCTTAGGCGTTAGTCTTAATATCCTCACTATAATAAATTTATTAGCAAATTACATACGAAAGCAACACTCTCCCACCCCACCCGCCCCTCCTAAATTTATATCCTCAAAGAGAAGGACTAAAAGGAGTCTTACAACTCTAGATATCATCCTAAAGAAAGGTAATAAAAGAGAAGTCTTTAAATCCCTATCACATCCAATTAATGGCCAAACAGAGTAACATCAACAAATTAACGGTTAAGCAAATTGTTGCAGTACAATAAACTTAAACTAAGTAAGATCCACTTTAAAGCATCTTTAGTCTTAAGCCTGGTATTAAGGAATAAGGCTGATGAAGGTTGACAAACAACATGATGAAAGTCAAACTATTCTATGGATTCCTGGATATTTTGGAATTGAAGCTAATTGATAAATATTGCAGTCCAACGCGGGTTAACCAAAACATTCACTTGTAATGCTGAATTGTACATAAGGATGGTTCAGTCCATACACCATCCCTCCCATTACCATAATAGGATATGAGATTATTCTTAGTCATTTTTGTGCTGAAGAGACTAAACAAAACTTATGGAGAGGTGATTGTGGAAAGGTGATTAGATAGGACATGGCATAGCTTCAACTTATCAAATACATGACCTTGGATAGGGTGCATATGGAAAATACGGATTAGGGAAGATGTCCAGTAAGTAGTTGAGTGTTGTCTCACTTATCTTTCCATATTCATAGTCGTACTATTATTCTTGTAGTTTCTTGTTTCTTTGACTTCTATCACTCTTATTGTTTCTTGTACTTCGATCTCGTATTATTTCATTATTGTCATGCCTTGTTTTCTTCACTCCTGTTTTTTTCCTGAGCTGAGGATCTATTAGAAACAACCACTCTAGGTCGAGGTAAGGTCTACATACACACTATCCTCCCCACACGCCACTTGTGGAATTATTGTCGTTGTTTTGTACATATTACAGTTACCTTTAACGTTCTCCTTCAATGAACTCTATCAGATGAACCGGAACAACAGACCAAATTCAAAAACTCCCCCACCCCCAAAATGAAGTTCATATCAATTAGTATGATTTTCGCATATTACTCATCGACATTATCTTAAAGAAATAAACAAAATTACAGAAGTAAAAAACAATAAACCTGAAGGGCATGATTGTAGCGACGGTAAGCTCGAAACTGTCTGACGATAATCTGTAGGTCTTCATACTTAATGGGATTTTGTTCAGTAACCCATTTGTCCAGTACTGATATGACGGACTCCTTAGAGCGTGCCAAATAGAGTAGCCTACTGTACAGAGCATTCTTTGGAGACGAGGTTAAGGGGTTTAAACATTGTTCATCTTTATTAGCCAAAAATAAGGAGGCTAGGGTTTCAGTTTCTGTAGAATATGAAGAAGAAACCCTAAGAAAACAAGTCCTGAATTTCCACCATGATTGTTGAACAAGTTTCACCATTCTTACCAGAAATGTAGAGTATGCCTCACTCCTTCACACTCTTCATTCACTCTTGTAACCCGAGCTAATTGAGGTTTCTAGCGACAAAAAAGTCTTAAAATTAAAATTGGTACAAAAAAAAATTTGACCAAGTCAAATCTCTTCTTAATTAGTGATTAAGATAATTAGGGATTAAAGTGTAATATTTAAAATTTTTAAACTTTTAAAAATATTCAAATAAACTCATTCCAATTGTCTTTCTTTTTCTTTCTTGCAACAACAGCTTGAAGCCCATTTCCAATTGTATTTCTTTTTCTTCCTTGCAACAGCTTGTAGCAGAGAGAGACGACATTGTTGCGAAAATATTGTTGGTGACTTCCAATACCTTAGTCTTGGTCTTCTTCGTCATAGTCGTCTTCTACCTCAAGGTAACACTCTTTTCTTTTCTTTCATTGTTAGGGTTTTGAGATGGTAAAGATTGAAATTTCATTGGGTTTTATTAGGCCTTCTTTGTTTTTAGCATATGGAAGTTTGTGGGTTTAACGATTTTGCTTGGTAGGGTTTTCTTGGGAAAAAAAATGTGGGTCTTTTATACAAGATTTGTGTGCTTTCATTGATCCTTCTATTGTTTTTTTTTTGTTATCTATGTGGGGTTGTTCTTATCTTCTTCTATGTGGTGTTTGATGGCTCTTTAATGTTTGCATTTTAATGTTTTGCCCTGTTTTAGGTTCTTGTTTTTTGTAGGAAAAAAAGAATTTGGTTGCTTTTGAGGTAAATGTTTGAGACATTAGAGGTGTCTTTCTTGGACCTTTAATTGTTGCTCATCTTATGGAGAATGTTGTTCTTAGAGATCATTTATTTTTATTAGTCTTAAGTTAGTTTGATCATTGGTAGTTAAGCACTGCTATTAGTTGTTATAGTTGTTATCTTTCAATATTATGATGTTTGTTAACTCTTGGGGGGGGGGGGGGGGAGAGGGGTGTTTCACAGAATGTATTATAGTTACTAGTAACATATTTATTTTTTTCAAGCCTATGATTTTGTTCATGATTTAAGAGGAGAAGTGTAGTATGGTTTTGTCACTTCCTGATGTTGTTGTTACCTTATTTTATAGTATGCTTTGTATACAACAACAATAATTATTATACCTCAATCCCAAACAAGATGACATATAGATGATTTGCATATATACTTCAAATAACATACATGCATCCAACCAAATTTTGATGATATATTTATAATTGTTTACCCTATTTCTTTATGTGGTTTTGAAACTAACTTTCAAAATTATCTAAATGATCTTGAACCTGCCATTTTCATCAATCTTCAACGCCGTTTTACTTCCCGGATTAGATGTCCTAAGCATATGACTATACGCATCAATCACTCCATATCCATGTTCATGTGTCCCTCTTACCAAAGACTTTGCAATCTCGCTACCCATCCAAACTTTCCAATAACTAACCTTGCATCTCAATTCAATACAGATAGAGTTTTTCAAATCTTTTGTAGATGGACCTTTACCTTCGGGATATCTATCTTTGAAGTATGCTCCAATGACTTTTGATGTGGCATGTGGATTATGACTCGTAAGATGTTTCGAGCCACATGTATGCATCTTTTCATACTTTTTAATATAAAATCTATCAGAATTTTCAACTTTCACCGCTCTTAGCCACCACTTGCACTCAAGATGCTCACATTTGACACAATACACTGAACACGAATTAATTACCTTCTTCAATCTAAAATCTTTTTTGACACAAGCAATTTTCAATGCAATATCTAATTCTTGTTTATTCTTAAACGACATATCTTTGCAAAAACCTGTTCCATCATCTTGAGCATGACTGCATTAAGTTAATTAATTATCAGCTAAAACAAAAATTAATTAAGTGTACAAAGAGGATGAACTTTTAGAAATAAGTAAATTTATGAGTTCATAGTACTTGCCTATCAGCAACTCCACCAATAATGGGCAATCTATTCCGAACTTCAGGAGAAAGAATATGTTGACCTTCACGCTCTTCATTCGGAATATTCATATTCATCCTACCACATTCATCGTTCAACACTTGTTGGTCATCACATAAATTATGATTCTCCACCAATCTTTCAACCATGTAGATCCTTAAAACACCTCTAGGCTCATCTTCCAAATAAATACTTAAACTAAGCTGATCATTTATCTTAAAAGGAGCCGTCTTATGCTTTTCACCACAATTATGCAGGTAAGTGATCACAATATCTTCCAACTCATAATTTAATTTACAACAAGTAATGATTTTATTCGCAAAATCATCATATGCAATATCTCGATGCACAATCATCGCAATTGTCGCGGCCAATTCTTTACTCTTCCAACGCCAAATATAACGATTGTTGGACTCGACCCATTCACCATTACAATCAACTGGTACTACTATTCTATCTCCCATTAATGATGTTGAAGATACCTGAAAATATTGTAACTTAGAACTAAAAAATTGATCATAAAAAAAATTATATTAAAATATCACAATTGTTGTAAGTTATTCAGCAGCTGCTGAAATAGATATAGCAGTTGCGACAATTTATTCAACAACAACATTCAACAATTGTTGTAAATTACTGAAATAGTCATATCAGTTGCTGAAAATTATGATACATCAGTGGCAACAATAATACAAAAATCAAATTTTTAAATGAATAATACACACAAACAATACAATAACTTGTTAAAATGATTAAAAATCATTAGTTAATAAGTAATTTCTAAAGCGTAGACCTTTTCAAATCACATGTTAAATTAAAATTTGAAATTCTCCCTTCTCAAATTCTTCAAATAAGAAATCTACAATAACATACAACACCAATAAAAGAAGAAGAAGAAGTAGAAGAAGAGAGGGATGTTGGGAGAGAACAAAAAAAAAACTGATTTGGGGTTTTCCTATTTTAGAAATTAGGGTTTTACTTAAATGTGGGTGAAAGTGTAAAAACAAAAACTTGAGGACTTATTTAATTATTTTTAAAAATTGATTAAAAATTTGTCACCTACACTTAATAATTAAAACTAGAGTCACTCTTTTTACATTTCAACACTTTTTTGTCACCTATAATTCATTCAACACTTTTCTTGTAACCCTTCTTGCAATAAAAAAAAAAAAAATTTTAAAAAAAAAATTAAAATAATGAGTTAGTTTGACTTGACACAAAATTTTAAGAAAGAAGATTTTTATTACTTATGATTTAAAACAAAGGATACATATTTGTGTGATTATAAATCATTCTTAAATTTAAATTATTATTTAATATAAATATGTGTCATTTTTTTTTTAGACAGGAAATTGAGTAGTACAAATTGGAACAAAGAGATAAGTATTTTGTTTAAATAAGTGTATTTTTTTTATTTGGTCGAATTTTATTTTCTTACTAAATATTTTGATCAACTAAACCTTGGAGTGCATTTTCTCAATTAAATACTTAAAACTTAAAAGTGTAGGCAGTCAATTTTGCCGGGTAAGTTTTAGTTTGTCAATTTTTTGAGTGGCAATAAAAATAAGTCATAAATATTTACTTGTTTATGATTTATCTTACTAGGGATAAAAAAAGAAAATTTTAAATTAAATTGTTCGTCTCAAAATACTTATCGTATTTTTAATTTTTATGCCTTCTTTAGAAATCATTAATTAGGAGGGGTGTTTGATTATTACTATTAATTAGGAGTAATCTCTATTCATAATTTCATACTCTATTTATGTGTCATAATTGAAGTATTTACTTACTTCATTTCTATTTATATGTCACCATATAAATAGGAACGGAGGAGTAGTAAAAGATTACTTCTTTCTCATTTTTCTGGTATCACTTCTCACCAAAAAAGGAAAAGTTACAACTTGTAAAAGTAACTAAGGGAACTTAGTAAAAGGAACCACTATTGCGGAGTTTCAAATTCTACAAGTGAATGAAGTTTTACCTACGAAAATTTAAAGAAAGCAATTATCATTCCTTCTTTCTTCTCTTTTTTGGTGTCATTTCTCACCAAAAAAAGAAAAGAAAAGTTACAATACAAGTAACTAAGGGAACTTGTAAAAAGAATCACTATTTCAGAGTTTCAAATTCTACAAGTGAATGGTGTTTTACCTACGGAAATTTGAACTCCATGACATTGCCTATTTTCCAAAAACAGGACCGAAAAGTGACCAATGAACGCTACTTCTACCTGTCAAAGTCTGCAACTATACAACAGAGCCAGAGATCATTCTTTTAGATGCAGCAATTGAAACCCCCAATTAATATAAGGCAGTAGAAAGTTTTGATTAGTGAAAATCATATAATCCAGTATCCAGTGACATAGTTTTTTCCTACTATTGTCAACAAATCTCCTCAATGTCTGTTTCATTAAGTGCCTCAGACTTGCGATTTCCAATTTCAATATACTTATCTAAACCTCTCTCAAATTTTTTCGAGCAGAGACCTCGTACTCTAAGTAAATCTTTAAGCTCTTCTTCTCCTTGAGTATCTCCTTTTGATTGCAAGTACTTCACACAGGAAGCCAGACTGTGAAAGTGAGGTTTCCACCCTGGCTGACTAGCCAAGATTGCTTTCTTCATCGTATCCACTGCCTTGTCCATGTCATTTTGTACACAATAACCGAGTGCCAGACGATTCCATGTGCTTCCATTGGGATGCTTCCCACTCTCCTCGAGTTGCTCTATGATTGATAAAGCCTTGTCCATATGACCCTTCTTGCAGTAAACACTTATGAGCAAGTTTGGAATTCGAATGTCAAAGTGTACCCTGTTTGTTTCCCACTCAGCAAATATCTCCTCTGCTCCATCAAGATCATCCAACAATTCTAGTCCACGTATCATACAATGATAGCTTGAATTGTGACGCTTAACTTTTTTCTTGTATTTATTCCATATACGATAGACATCATCTTTGTGTCCCATACTAGTATAGAGAGTAATGAGCATGTCAATACCAAGCTTTTCCCTTTTCCCCATGAGTCTATGCTCGCATTTCTTCAATGACTCGTTAGCCTTTTCTATATCACCAGCTTCAGGTACCCCTTTGCAGCAATTGCGTAAGAACTCCAATCAATTAGCAGAGGATCAGCTTCCATTTTCATCAGAACCTTCTCCATCTCTGCAACATTGGGAACAGATGCATATACATTTAAGCGGATATTGTAGGAAATCAAATTACCAGAAATTCCATTGTCTTCCATCTCTAGCACAAGTGACTGTAGCTTCTCAAGATATCCCAATTTAGCATAAAGGGTCATCATAACATTGTACGCCAGTGTGCCAGCATAGCCCAACTCCTTCAGCTTTTGCATGGTATCTTCTGCTTTTTTAAAGACATTTGCATCAGCATAGCAATTCAAGAGAGCACCATATACCTGGTAGGTTCTTGAATCATCTGGAATGCTAGTAAAATACGCTCTGCGGCTTCCAGACCATGGGCTTTTGATACTAAATCCAGTTCGACTGCTAAATCTCTAGGCGATATATCAAAATCCTTGGACTTCTTAATCCACTCAAAAATCTGTGATTGTATAAGAAGAAGAAATTGCTATTTTGTAAACTGAACCAATACATAAGTGAGGAAAAGAAAAGTTAAGTACGCAACCTTTGTAACAAACCCGAATTGCTCACTATGTTAATAAGAGAACTAAAACGCGATTACAACTTTAGAATCGTAATTGCAATACCCAAACTACTGAATAACGATGGAAATATGGAAATAACAAGTAACTAACGATAGAGATAAGAATGGGGATGAGAAGCTTAGACTCTAGAAGAAGAAGAGAGGACAACCATTTTATTTCAATGTACGCATAACCCTTCTTTCAAACTCATTCTCCCTTTTAACCAAATGCTAATTGGGCCTGGATCCCAAATAAAACACTCCAACATTTTACTTGGCCCAATCTCATTCACCACTTCTAACTCATAGGCCTTTATAGAGCTAGCTTTGTTCACAACAACCTGGTCTTTTTTCTCTGGTTTCACAAAGGCTAGTATCTTAAACAAAAATAGGACTGATTAATACGGACTTCATGATGCGGGCGAATTTAGAGATTGCTCTTGTTAAATCAACATTAAACTGATACAGTTGAAATATTTGTAGAACATGCAAGTTTACAAGGTATCTGTTACAAAGTCAAGTTGTACAGAGGAGTTAATCAGAAATAGTGTTAGCAAAGGCACACTTAAGCCCTGAAGCAAGGATTGAATCATTTTGAGCGCTTCGCCTCGCTTAATGTGCTTCAGTGTTGTCATCAAGGCTCCAAGACAAACTTATCTTTACAAATGAGTGTTTCCTGAAGAGGCGACACTAAGCAATTGATGTTTCACTAAGCAATTCATGCTTATTATTATTAGTCTTGGACTAAACATGTAGATCTGTTTTTTTTTTTCTCCATTGCACCTTTTTACATTAAAGCCCACATTTTGTTTGAGCTTTACTGCAAGGCTTAAAACATTTGGAGGATGATAATGCATAGTTTCAAGATCCACTTCCGGACCTGGTTGACTAATCAAATTAAGTTCTTGTTTTCCGGGAAGACGAATATAGAGAAAAGGCAGGGAAAGAGAGGACTATTTTAGGAATGACTTAGAATATTTTAAAGTCCCAAATCAGACAAGTCCAGCAACTCTACAAAAGCTAATCACTCTTCTTAGCTTAAATTTTCGAATTGATTAAAATGTGTTTGTATTTATTCGAACAAAGAAAATATTTGCAATATATATTTGTAACGGTTAGTTTTTTTTTTTTTTTTTCTTATAGTAGTAACACATTTTACTAACAAGCTTAGGCACACATATTTTACCCTTTATCTCTATGGCATGTCGATAACTTGTATGGGATAATCTTATCGAGGTTTCAATGCAATATGCCCATAAACAAAAACAAAAATAAAAAGTATTCCAACACAAATGTGTAATTGAATTAACCAAAACCAATTCATATTTGGTAAGTTTTAGTAAGTGTAGTAGTTGGGGTAAGGTATAGTCATGCATTCTCAAGTGGGTAACTTTGTAACTATAATTGAAATCCTACTATGTTTTGAAGAACATAGAAATTAAATAGAAAGACTTTTTCTATTGAAGGTAGCATGTTTGGAAAGATATAATAATGTGGGCAGAGAACACAAAAATTCAGACGTAAACCCGATAAGTGGTATAAAGGGACAGATTTTCTTTTTCATTCGACTTAACACAAGTCAACTATTTTTAGTACACTCGGTCTGCACCATAAAATTTCTGGAAAAAAGTACATCTGCTGGTTCCCTAAGTTGCGCGGACTCTTCACTTTTGATGCCGCATCCGTGTCGGATTCTCCGAGAATACACTATTTTAGCGAATCCAACATGCACCCCTTGACATTTTTGAAGAGTCCGAGCAACATAGCTAGTTCCTACTCTTAAGACAAATAACTATGAAGATATAGCAAGTCACTTTGTTTCATGTCAAGAATATATTAGTGCAGAATTGCTTAGAATACAAGAGAAGCAAATGATTGTTATGGTGACACCAACTGTTGAAACTAAACTAGTTAAACATATAAGGAGAAGTGTGAAATCCAGATTACCTAATTCACCAAAAGATGCAATTTTTCAGCAATGGACAAAAATGAACCGGCATAGAATGGATGGATATTGAGGTTTAACATAACTGGTTGTCTGATTCCAACTGATTTTGGAGTGACATATAATTTCTTGATTGACTGATAGATAGTTCTTCGGCTAAAGTGCTTCTTAGAGTTAGAGATATAGAAAACTCTACTCTTAGGCGTTAGTCTTAACATCCTCGCTATAGTAAATTTATTAGCAAATTACATGTGAAAGCAACACTCTCTACCACCCACCGACCTCTCTTGGATTTATATCCTCAAAGAGAAGGACAAAAAGGAGTCCTACAATTCTAGGCATTCACCTAAAGAAAGGTAATAAAATATAAGTCTTTAAATCACTTTAGTCATAGTTACAAACAATCACATCCAATTAATGTCCAAATAGAGTAACATCAACAAACTAATGATTAAGCAAATTGTTGTTGTACAATAAACTCCACCTAAGTAAGATCCATTTTAAAGCATCTTTAGTCTTAAGCCTGGTATAAAGGAGAAAGGTTGACAAACAACATGATAGTAGTCAAACTATCATGAAATCTAAGGATTGTTGAATATTTGGGATTGCAGCTAATTGATAAATATTGCAGTCCAACAAAGAGGGGGGTTAACCAGAACATTTCACTGGTAATGCTGAATTGTAAATAAGGATGGTTCAGTCCCTATACCGTCCCTCCCATTACCATAATAGACCATGAGATTATTCTTAGCCTCTTTTGTGCTGAAGAGGCTGAAGCAATACTTAGCCTCTTAAAATAATGAGGAATTTGTACATGAACCTGAAACAATACTTGGCCTCTTCGAATTCCTAAAAGATTAAAAGGGATTCCCTAATGGATGTGTGGGCATACTAGAAAAGATAAGGTGGGAGTGGCCTCTGTGGAGGACAAGATACGGGAGGCGAGACTGAGATGTTCTGGACATGTGAAGAGGAGATACATGGATGTCCCAGTGTGGAAGTATGAGAGGTTGACTATGGATGGTTTCAGGAGAGGTAGAGGTAGGCCAAAAAAATCCTATGGAGATGTGACTGCGGAGAGGTGATTAGACAAAAGCAGCTTCAACTTATGGATGTTATGGATTAGGGTAGAAGGTTAGTAGATAGTTGAGTGTTGGCTCTCTTATCCGTTCATACTAGTAGTCATAGTATTACACTTCTAGTTTCTTGCTTCTTCGACTTCTGTTATTATTTATCATTCACTGTACTTTAATTATCGTATTATTCCATTGTAGTTATTGTTTCCTTTTTTTCAGATTGCCTTATCTTGCCTTGTTTTTTTCACTCCTATTATTTTCTTAAGCTGAGAGTCTATCAGAAACACTCTTTCTAGGAGTCAAGGTCTACACACTAAGCCACTTATGGGATTACAGTAACCTTTTCTAAAAAATGAGATTATTCTCCATTTCCCTATTAACATTCTCCTTCAATGAAATTCTATCAAATGTACCAGAACAACAGACCAAATTCAAACCATCGACATTATGTAATCAAAATTCCAGAAGTAAAAGAGAAAGAGACCTGAAGGGAATGATTGTATCGACGGTAAGATCTAAATTGTTTGACGATAATCAGTAGGTCTTCATACATAATCGGATTTTGTTCAGTAACCCATTTGTCCAGTACTGATATGACGGACTCCTTAGAGCGATCAAATAGAGTAGCCTATTGTACAGAGCATCCTTTGGAGACGAGGTTAAGGGGTTAGAACCTTGTTCATCTTCATTAGTCAAATCTAAGGAGGCTATGGTTTCAGCAATTGTAGAATATGAAGAAGAAACCCTAAGAAAACAAGTACTGAATTTCCACCATGATTGTTGAACAAGTTTCACCATTCTTACCAGAAATGCAGAGTATGTCTCACACACTTCATTCACTCTTGTAAGTTGTAACCCTTCTGCCAATAAAAATTGTTCATTTTTTTAAAAAAAAAAATTAATTGAAAATGAGTTAAATTTCAGACTCAGAAAATAACTAATAACCTTTTTTATTTATTTCGTAGGATTTTATTTTTAAGAAATTTATTTTCTTAGAGAATATTTTTCAAAATATTTTGATCAGAAGAACAAAAAAACATTTTTTCAATTAAGTACTTACAACTTACAAGGTATCTTCTTTTAATCAACTCACCTTATTTTCTTATTTCATAACCCAAAATTTTTCATATGAAGTTTTTGACATCTTGTATTTGTCTTTTTTCACTTTTGATTACTGTAATTTCTTCAAGTTTGGTTACTTTGAAATGAAAAAAATTCCCCATGTTGGCTGTTGGCTGTCAATTTTACCGTGTAAATTTTAGTTGCAACTTTTTGACTGACAATAAATCGGATATATTTTGTTCTACCTTCGTTAACTAACAACACGTACCTGAGGAAAAATTGTCAGCACCCTCGGGGCCCAGAAGATAGTGCCATGTAGGCTGAAAAAGGGTAGAAAATTATTTATAAAATAAGTTCGGGGGTTATTGTATCTTAGTATAGTATAAGTGTGTCTCTGGATTTTCGGGCATAGGTTGGGGTGGATTTATGCATTTTCCCAACTTTTAATATATATATTGAATTAGGAATTCCGTTAAAAAAAGGAATCTCTCTTCTTTTTTTTTGCATATCTTTAATTCCATACATTCTACATATCTTTAGTTTAACATCACAAAATTCAAAAGTTCTCTTACTTTCTTAGACTCCGTGGCAAGTCAAAATCAGATAAATGAAAGTTGAAACGAGAGTATAATGAAAAACGTGCCAATTAAGAAGACTATTTAACTAATTCATGTCCCAAGAAGTCATCTAATCATGGCCAAAAAATAGATAGAATATTTAAGTCTATGCTCTTTCAGTCTATATTCACACGTTAGTTGTTACAGATGATAAAATAATTCTATAAATCATAGCAGCAGATATGCAGTTGTTAGACTTTCATATTTTTCATTTGATCTTTGGCTGTACTTTGCTCAATATTCTGAAGATGAGTGTATCTAAAAAATTCATTCAACATCTTATTCTGTTTGACATATTCGTCGCGCTGTCAGTTACCTGTGGTGTTGTGTTCAGTTCAGGAGTTGGTGATGGGACTATCAAGTGCCTTCAAACGGAATTAGAAGCTCTTCTCAGTTTCAAACGGGAGTTGTTAGATGTCCGTGGACGTCTTTCTTCATGGGGAAATGAAGGATTTAATCAAGATTGTTGCACATGGAGAGGTGTCCAGTGTGACAATCAAACCAGTAATGTCATTAGACTCGATCTTCGTGGTCCTTCTGGTCTCAATGCATCTGTTGCCACTGCGCCATTGATAGGTAAGATAAGTCCTGCCTTACAAGAATTGAAGCAATTAAAGTATTTGGATCTTAGTTACAATCGAATTTCAGGAGGTATACCGGACTTTCTTGGTTCTCTGAGTAAGTTGGAATACCTTAACTTATCTTGTGTTGGTGATGATTTTACGACAGTTCCTAAACTTGGCGATCTTTCTAGCTTAAACACCCTTGATTTGAGCTATAATGATTTCCCATCTGTGAATAACCTTGAGTGGATTTCGAGTCTTCATCAATTGAGATACCTTTCCATAGGTTATGTTAATAATCTGAATAATTCTGCATATACCTGGCTGTTTAAGTTCAGCAATCTGAGTCACCTTGATCTCTCTGGTAATACTTTATATGGTCAAATTCCTGCTGCTTTTTGGAATATGAAATCCTTAAAACACCTTGATCTATCTCGGAATGCGCTTGGAGGTGGCTTCCCTAGATGTCTTGGTAACAGTAGTAATTTGAAGTTGTTGCGACTGTCTTCCAACAATCTAGACGGGCAGCTACCTGAGATAATGAATAACTTGTCATGCGTGTCACATTCTCTCGAGTACCTGAACTTAGAAGAGAATCACATTGGTGGTTCACTGACTGATGTTGTAGCTAAGTTTGCATCTCTGAGAGAGCTGAGGCTCGGGCGTAATAAATTGAATGAATCCATCCCGGGAGCTGTTGGAAAACTACCAAGTCTTGTTCTTTTGGATTTATCTTGGAACAGAATCACGGGATCAGTCCCTGATCTTTTTCAGTTATCGTCGTTGAGGGAATTACATCTTTCTCATAATCAGTTAACTGGTGTAACGGAGAGTATTGGACGTCTTTCCAAACTTGAGAAGTTATACCTTGACTTCAATCAGCTTGAAGGCACAATATCTGAAGCTCATTTGTTCAAGCTCTCGAAATTACGTGAGCTGGACCTCTCTTATAACACTCAACTACATATTCGAGTCAGTTCAGATTGGATCCCACCTTTTCAGCTGGATTTCATTCGTTTTACCCACTGCAAATTGGGTCCTCAATTCCCAAACTGGCTGAGGAATCAAAACAACATTTCCGAGCTTGATTTTTCAGCTTCTGGAATTTCGGGTGACGTTCCTAGTTGGTTCTGGGAGCAGTTCCCTGGATTGACCTTCTTAAACCTTTCTTACAATGATATAGGAGGAAATGTACCAGATCTCTCAAAGAAGATGACTGATCTTCTTTGCCTAGATTTGGCTACAAACAAATTCACCGGTCCAGTACCACGATTTCCTACCAGCGTTATAACAATTGATCTCTCCAACAACATGTTTTCGGGTACCATCTCCTTCATTTGTGACAATTTTGATTACTTGGGATATCTTGACCTCTCAGACAACAGATTGTCTGGAGAGCTTCCTCACTGCTGGACGCTTAGAAGTATCGTGCATCTTAACTTAGGGACTAATAACTTCTTCGGGGAGATACCTGATTCGATAGGCTCATTGCAGACGATGGGAATGCTGCATCTTCAAAACAATCATTTGACAGGAGAACTACCTCAGTCCCTGGCAAATTGCAAAAAGTTGAGGGTTATAGACGTTCGGTCTAATAACTTGTCTGGTGAAATTCCAGAATGGATTGGGAGTAACATATCTGATATCATTATTGTTATCTTAAGATCCAACAGGTTTAGTGGAAGCATACCTTCAACCATATGCCAGCTAAAAGAACTTCAAATCTTGGACTTATCTGAAAATAAGATATCCGGGATCATACCAAAATGTATCAACAACCTCACTGCAATGACGGATGAAGAGAGCACAATGCACCAAATCAAGAGTTGGTATTTTCAGGTCGATGATCAAGGTGAAGTCAAAATAAATGCCTAATACGATGAAACTGCAGTTTTGATGTGGAAGGGACGACAATTTGAATACAGCAGCATACTTGGTATGGTGAAGAGCCTCGATCTTTCAAGCAACAACATGGTGGGAGAAATCCCGGTTGAAATTACATCTCTTGTAGGTTTGCACGGTTTGAACCTGTCGAGAAACAACTTAACCGGCAGCATCCCTCTGAGGATTGGTGAAATGAGGGCACTAAATTTCCTTGACTTAAGCATAAATGATCTTACAGGGGAAATTCCTACTAGCCTTTCACAGTTAAGTCACCTGGGGGTCTTGAACTTGTCTTACAACAACTTGTCTGGTCGAATCCCTTTAGGCGAACACTTACTGACTTTCAACAACAGATCTTACATTGGGAATCATGGACTTTGCGGCTATCCACTAACAGAAGCTTGCTCTCTGGAGGAACTTCCTCGAGACTCAACGTTGAGTGATGAGGAGGACGAGTTTATAACTCCAGAATTTTATATTAGTATGGGAATCAGCTTTATTTCTGCATTTTTGGGAGTCTCAGCTCTGATGTTGAATAGAAGGTGGACTTACGGTCTACTCAGATACTAGGAAATCAATAATGTAACATCACACAGTTAAATGTAGGTTTACTTAAATACCATGATAAGGAGCTATGTAATCTCGAGTTCTTGAAACTTTGCACTTGCCTGAATTTTTATTCCATGTGCATTGTACACCACACGAATCAGCTGATCCTCGGATATTTATACTGTACAAGTTGTTTTATCTAACCTTTATAAACTGTCATCGTTTAATACAATAGGTGACTGTCGTTTTCTCTAGCAAAACCTTTCATTTTAAGGAGCTCCATAGAAGAGCAAACCTCATCCTCTGCCTCCCATTGTTGGAAGAGACTAATGCAATAGTATGTAATATTCGACAGAATTTGATAATGAATGATAGGATCATGGAATCTACAATGGACTTTTTTCCACTAATATTTCATATGGAGAGCTTATTTTGTTATCGAGAAATTAAATTTAAATCTTGGTAATCATAGAGTTACCGTTGTTTGCTGGTGGGAGGTAGCAGATATCACGTGGAATTAGTTGAAACGCGTATGCTGTCCTAAACACTACAATTATCTAACAAATATTTACAACTTGGTAATGCCTACAGTATAGGATGGAACTCAATCTTGATAGCTTGCTACTACATAATAGGAGGAAAGTTGAAAAATTCTAAGTTATGTTGATTGCGTGATTGTTTATAATGTGCTTGATCTTACTTGACTGTTTCCAAAGACAGTATGTCACACTAAGCAAATTCTTATCAACAATTGAAACAACAACTGTAGAGTATAAACTATTTATCAGCCAACAATGCTAATTAATCTAGAATTAGAGCATGAATTCCAATAAAAAAGGATTCTTAATATATCCTTAAGATGTAATTTACTCATTCCGCGTTGCCAAGTGATTGGTGAAGCAATTATTAATGTAAGAGAAGGTAAGATAGACCTTTGGTAGAATGTATTAGAAAAAATAATGCATGCATTAGTTTTGTGTATTCGTAGTAACTTGTTTGATACATTTTTTAATTCTATGTATAACTAATGCTTGCATTAATTATACACTTCATTGCGTATTGAAGTATGTATTACTAATGCATGGAGATCCATGGTTTGAGTAATGCAAAGGGTTTTAATGTA